CACTGGGTTTGATTCCCAATGCGATGGAGGAGGGGGAGAAGGAGGAGAAGGAAGAAAAGGAGGAGCAGAAGGAGGAAATTTCTGTACTAGAATACCAGCTCCGCAGCTTCCATTCCTGCTTCCTGCAGAGGGCTTAGTCTGAGTCCTGCTATGTAAGAAGTCCACCATGGGCTAAGCTCCCAGGGCTGCCAGCCATGCAAATAGGACACCTGGGACATCTACCCTATTAGGTCAAGCCCTCAGGTGACAGCAGCTTCTACCAGTGTCAAACTGTGTCATATGAGAAACCCGAAGTGAAAGCCAGCCAGCTAAGTCCTTTCCAAACTCCAACCCAGAAATCATGAAAAAAAAAAAAAAAAACAACACATGGGTTTAAACCACTAGTTTTGAGGACAACCTGTTAGATAATACCAAGTAGCGGAACAATGAATCTCATCCCAAACAGGTGTTATGTTTTGGGACAATTTTTTAATAATAATATGAAGCTATCAAAACTCATGAAGAAAGTAAAACTAGGCATGCAGTTCATTTTAACACTAATACAGGAAAGAGCTTTCTGTACCATTGATGAATATAATTAGGTTACAGATAATTTATTTCAGTTTTCTCTTATCCATTTGCAATGGACTGAATACTTGTGTACCCCCCAAATCTATATGTTGAATTCCTGATAGGATGGTATGAGGAGCTGGGGCCTTTGGTTAGTAATTGGGTCATAATGGTGGAGTTCTTAAAAGGGAACCCGCAGAGACATTCCTCGCCTCTTCTCTAATGCATTAACCTGGCAGACCTTACCAAGTGTGATAACATCCTGGACTGGCAGCAGTTTGGAAAAACACACACATGCATCCATACACGGGAATACATACAAGCATTTGCATGAGGTGAGAGAGCTCTGAGTGAAGGGGTAGAAGGATGTGCGGTAGCTGTCATATCAGTTGTTTTAAGGGAGATGGAGAAGGAGAGGAGTAGAGAAATAGCCCTTACACACCACTGTTACCTTTGCCATAATGAACTAGTGTTTGCTTTATCATTTTTCTTTTTTTTTTTTAATTGAAGGAAGAAAATAGAAACCTTGCCAGTTCACTGTGCTGTCTTCCCACAAGTCAAGTATTTACCTCACCTTTCCCTCCCATCCAGAGGAGCTTCAGTCCTTCAAGGCTGGAGTTTCAATGCTGGGTCCTTGGACTTTTGACCAAGGATGGGATGAAAACAGCATGGGCCCCGAGGTGTCTGAGATGCTCTCTTGGCTTGGCTAGAGGCAAACAAAGCCACTGTGTCTGTTTCAGGTGACACCAAGAGGGGATGGTTTGGGCCACGGAGACTTCCAGACTCCCAGGAACCAAGCTACAGCACAAAGCTCACCATGAGGTGAACGTGGTCATGAACGAGAGCTCAGGGAGCCCCAGGAGCCCAGAAGGTCACACAAGGACAGTGGAAGTATCTGGCCTGCTGAGTCAGAGCTGCATTTGGAGTCCTGCACACGGTAGGGCCCGGGGAACTCGATTCTGTTCCAAAGGCTGCCCCTGCTGTGGTGCCCCCGATGCCCAGGGCTTGCGGAGAGGGCTTTAAAGGTAGCGCTCAGCAACGTGGCTCTGTGGCAAGTCACCGCCATATCCCTCCTGCCTGCCACCTGCTGGCTGTGTGACGTGAAGACGAAAGTTAACGTTTCTGAGTTTCATCTTCTCATCAGAAAAATGGAGCTGATCACCAACCACGTGGACGTCCGGCCAGCATTACCCAAGCTGGTGTTTTCATCGAGACTCACTTAATGGGGCAGTGGAGAGGGTCAGAAGGGAACCTGAATGCCCCGAGGAGTCTATTCCCTTGCTCACTAGTACGTGAACACAGGCAATTTACTTAACTGCTCATAAATTTTTTCCACACTCAGGAAGAAGTAAAATTGATAATTGTGCATTGCCTCCGTGGCTGTAGGGTCTTAGCACAGCAGGTGTTCTGCAGTGGGGAGGGGTCTCCTCGAAGACGCAAGTCCCAGGAGGATGAGGGCTCACCTCCCTCTCAGCTGAGCTCTGACTCAGAACAGCACCTGGCGCATAATAGATGCTCAGTACATATCAGTTAATCAGCCAAACACTTGTCAATTTGATGTTAAGACCAGCCCTCAGCCTTCTCTCTACAGTTTTTATACTGCCCCAATTTTTGGACTGGGTCTTAATATCCCATGGATAATTATAAAGCACCTATTTTGTTTACTGATTTTATTCACCCTTAATCCAATGACAGCATCCTCACAAGAGGAGAAGAGAAGCAGAGCCACCCAGGAAGGATGCCAGGCGACAACAGAGGCCCAGAGTGGGGCAGCAGGTCCTTAAGCCAAGAAATGTCCAGGATTTCCAGAAACACTGGGAGCTAAGGGGAGGGCCTGGCTGGATTCCCTGGAGTCCTCGGTGGGAAGTGACCATTGGAGCACCTCCAGCACCGTGAGGCCGTCCGCTTCTCTTGTTGTGCCGTCCAGTCTGTGCTGCGGTCTTACTGCAGTGGGGAAATGAACACAGTCAGTGGGGGAATATGTGGCCTCTCCAGGAGGCAGAGAGGAGCCATGATGGAGGACTGCAGGGGAGAGTGGAGACAGGAGGGCAAAGAGCGCGAGGGGGGCCTAGCACCTGCTTGGCTACAGGGCAGGTGGACTGTGACGACGGGGAGCTGAGACGGGAACCGCAGCGCGGAGGGAAGGATCCGACTTAGGATTCTCAAAATCCCTTGGGCAGGCACCTGTGATGCAGAGACACCTGACAAAGCAGGTAGGCAGGTGACCTGGGGACAGTGACTGCTGCCTTAGAGCCTGGGGTGGCGTCATCACCTCATAGCAGTGATATCGCCATGCGGAGGGAGGGGCAGGGCCATCAGCTAGCCAAGAGAGCTCAAAAGCATCCTGCAGAGCCAGGAGAAAGCATCAGATGCTCAAGGTCCTTCTACCTCAAACATAACCTGCCATCTTTCTCTCCTAAATTCTCTCAGAATGCCCTGGAACTGAGGCATCTACTTTCTGTGAATGTGGATCGACACATACATGTGCACATACACGTTCTACATATTGCCCTAAGTTAATGGAGCATATTTAAGGGCAGAACAAGCAGCACAGCTTGCTACGTCTGACCAGCCTGTTTTCTCTTTCTCTGAGTAGGAAAATGCTGCATTTTGTATTTTTTTTCCCCCACTGTGATCATTCTCTTTTTGTGACTGTGTATGAGTTACCCTGGCAACATGGTAGACTCAATCTGATTGGCCAGGTTGCCAGGTTCATTGTGAGAGCCAGGGGCCCAGTTTCGAATGGTGGATGTGTGTGTGCGTGTGTGTGTGCGTGTGTGTGTGCGTGTGCGTGTGTGCGTGTGTGTGTGTGTGTGTGTGTGTGTGTCAACCAGAGCTACAGACAAGCCTGGTCAGGAAAACCCAATCAAGCAGAATGTGTGCATCCCCTCTGCCTGCCCAGAGACCCCTCCCTCACCTGCTGGGCAAATGCCCCTCACATGGCTCTGGAGAGCGTGCGAGAGCTCGACTCCACCTTTGAAATACCTATTAGGAAATGTGCTTAAGATTGGTCTGTCTGGCCCAGAATGAATGTATCTGTGATGAGAAATTAATTCTCAAAGAAACTAAGGGAGAGAGGGGCCAGCACTGGACAATGGGAGTGGAACCCTGAGCAATCTCAAGAAAGGGACAGACTCGGGCAAATGCTTCATTTTCTGTAAATAAATATGCTCTTAAAAGGGGGGGGGCTTTGTGTTAAGGATAAGGACTTGGAAGCCAGTACACTAAAGATTCAAATGGGGGCTAAATGATACTTCAGTCCGGCCAACAATATGGGTCTTCTATTCAGTTTATCAGATGTATGCTTTATTCATTAGCCCAGCTCTATTTACGAATCACCTGGGGAAATAATCAAAATCCTGCCTATAGCTGAAACTCTTTGTTAGCCAATGAATAAATAATCCCAGAATAGAGTTAGGTACAGCCTGATGCCTAAGGAAGTAATAACTCTATTTTTCTTATTTGCACGAATTTTTTAGTAGCCTCCTCTGGCCCACTTTTTGCAATTCTTGTGTTTTCAAAGGAAGCATATCATTGACACCTAAATCTACCACACTCTGCATTGAACATATTATATTTAACTGTGCTATTTAACCAGCACCGTCTTAATATAGACGTAAAAGTCATTGGCAAGCAGTCGTTTTTCACCTGGGTTAAGTGTTACAGGATGTTCGGCTCTGGTAAAGCTAACATTTAGGCTGTCCAATTCAAAGAAGGAAAGAAATCTGAAGGGAAAAGAGACAAGGAGCACATTCCAAATGTGCTTCCAAAAAAAGCTGATTGCATAGTAATAATTAATTCCTCTGCTGAAGTTACTAGGAAAGAAATGTAAGCTCTCGAACCCTCCTACTACTCCTCCCCACCCTTTAGGAGGAAAAAATGGCTGTGAATGGTGTTCAGAGCAGCCCATTCTAGCTGGAGCCAATGGCCCAGTGGTATTAACTTCCCAACATGGCTGGCCTTCTGAGCTGTCCTTTGTGGCTGGATTTTGTTAGCAAGTCTTTTTCGCAAGACCATCAGCAGTGAAGACCAATTAAACGCTGACAAACCTGCTAATTCGCGCGTATATGGCATCATGACACAACCTTGACTGTGTGAGGAGTGTTAAGTGAAAACACTTTAAATATTCCATGGCTTGGTCTTCATTATCTTCCCGGCTCTCCAAGCGGCAGGGGCCTGGGACTCTGACCTCCTCAGAGGCCTACTTGCTATAGGATCTGTGGGCAAGGAAGTTCTTAGGGGAAGAGGCTTCCCCAGAACCTGGCTGTGAGCGGCCCTTCTGCTGGTCCCTGGCTTACCCCTGAAGCTGCCTCCCCACCTTCTTTTCCTAAAACTCCAGTTTTTCAGAGAAGACACAGCAAAGCCAGGAAATGCAAACGCAATGTCAGTCTGTGAGGATGGAATTGGTTAAAAGGAAAAATAATAACAACAATAAGGTCAAGGCCAGGAAGCTGGGGGTGGGGGCGAGGGCAACAAAATCTCCTTTGGAGCCAACAGAGATCATCCGCGCGGGAGGAACCCCGTGCAAGATCCCGAGTGAGCTGGGAACAGACACGGGGACACCCGGGGGACAAAGGGCCGCCAGCATTTATAAAACAGGGAAAGAATGAAAACGCAACACAAAGCCCTGCGGTTCCACACACAGCCAAGGTACGCACACACGCCACTGAAGGCAGGAAAATGGGGAACAAAGGATGTCATAGCAACCTCGGCGAGCCTGCCGTGCACCCGTGCAGCCGGCTGTAGCGCACATGGTCATCCATCAAGAAACCTGCGGCACCCGGACACCACGTTCACGCAGGAAGAAGAGTGGCCCCCAGCCAGAGAGCCCCAGGACGGCAGTGCACTCGTGTCCCCCTTCCTTTCCTCCCCGCTGCCCCCAAATCCATGGCACATCTGTGCCCAGATTCTCCCTCCTTTCCCAACAGCTGCTTGTCTGAAACGCAGGGAACCTGAATCTGCATCCGGGTACGCTCGCATCCCCCAAATTATTTTTCCAAATTGTTTCTGATTTGGGTAAAGTGTAGCCTTCCCCCGTGCCCTCAAGTAAATCCCCTGCTCTTTTGCAAACAAAGGCAGTGATAATAGCAAAAGAAAAAGCACATAAACGCGTTTTGCTTGCCGTTGCAAAATTAAGCATCCCACCGTTCGGATTCACGGGGGATTGCGGATTTCCAGGGGGATCTAAAGCTCATTTACCTGTGCCTAATTCAAAAGAGAAATGCTCATTTCCTTTCATCTCTCTCTTCCCCTTAAATTATAGGTCTCTTCTGTATTAATAGACATCATTTCTTTGCACTTTCTTGGGGTTGGAATGGGGGAAGCTCTGTGACACTGGAGGAAAAAGACAAGAGGAGCGTTTTCACCAGCAAGCCTTGGAATTCGGTGGAAAATAAAAGAGAACTTTTACAGGAACCTAATGGAGATATTGACATGTGTGGCTGGAAATCTAAACTTAGCAAAGTGTAAGGCAAGAGCAGGCTTTCTCACTTTATTTCTGTATCTGGAAAGTTTCAGCTGCTGGTACCGTATGAATATTTATTAATGCATTGTGAATCCGAACCTGTGATTATTACTCAAACTATCTTTTTTACCTTACAAGATTCAACTCAGAAGAATAAAAACACATCTGCTTTTGCTCTTCCCATATTTTATTCAATGTTTTAACAGCTTTGCTGTAAATATCTCATCCATTACGATTCAGTTGTGACTATATCGGCTTCCCGTCTCCTGTTTTATTACTGTCATCGCACTGAAACAACACACTGTTAATTCTGTTAACTAACAAGTTCATTGTTCCAGCTAGTCAGCCATCTCCCATTTGTTGGGTCCACATGCTAAAAGAGAATTGGTTATAAATCAGCCAAGGGCCTGAGTGAGGCGTGTTCCCTTTGTTCAGATGAGTGGGTCCTTATGTGAGATTGTCGTTTAATACGCTGTCGTAGGAGAACTGAGTAGCTCTGCAGACAGGGCCAAACCCAATTGGATTAGATGAAGAGGTCACTCAGTCAGCTCTGGAATATGCACACATTCTCAGAACTTCAGATTCTCAGCATGAAACAGTCCTCCTGTAGAGCTCCTCTCCAATTTAGACCTTGCAAACCTGGCTTCTTGTGGATTCTTTCCAGAAGCAACTGGCTACTCTCTATGTCCTGCTAGATGGAAACTGAGCCAGTGGGTGTGGTCTAATAGTTTAAAATGTCAGCTTTTAGTCCAGCAGACCTGGTTTGCTTTCCAGCTCTGCCTCCTCCCCGTGGGATGGGCCTGGATGGCTTTGACACCATCTGTGAGCCTCATCTGCACACTTGGAGCAGCGGCAGCACCCACCTCATTGGATGGTTGTAAGAATCAAACCAGCAAAGGTGTGCATAGTTCTGTCACAGTGGGGATTTGGTCCAGGAAATAGACATCTCTCTGGATATCTCAAACATAGTCAGTATCTCCTACCAGCAAGAGGTATGTCCTGAGACCCCCAGAGGTGGCTGAACCACAGGTGGTATTGATCCCTACAAGGACTATGTCTTTTCTTCTACCTATGTATCCTTGATAAAGTTAGTACAGTGAGAGATTAACGATGACAACGAATAATAAAATAGAATAACAATGTACTATAAATATAAACAATGTCTCTCTCTTGGTCTCTCTCCCTCTCAAAATATGCCATTTAATATTTTTGGATGGTGTTGACCACAGAGAGTGAATCTTGGGTGAAAGGGGACTACTGTAATGAATTAAAATCTGGGTATTGGGTGTGTGCCATGATGAGGTTGTAAACACACACATGTACACACACATGCCCACACACAGTGGCTTAGAACAATGAGTGCTCACTTAAATTCCAATTCTGTAAGTCAAAGATTTGAGCGGGGCTGGGCAGTTCTGGTCATGTTAGGCTCACTCTATGTCTTGTTGGATCTTGTCTGGTGCAGCGGGGCCAAATGTGTGGTTCTCCATCGGGACAGCTCAGGCAATTTCCTAGCAGAGACAGAGGTGCCAGAGAAGCTCTCAGTGGGTGATTCTTGCTTAAAACAAAACAAAACAGGACAAGTTGATCATCCCAAGGACATTTCATTCAAATTAGGGCTGTAAGGGCATGGATGAAGGCAGAGTTAAAGAATTTGAGCCTTATGCAATGAGCTGAGATATTGCCTATCAAATTATTGGAAGAGGGAGTGTTGGTTTAAAGGTCATGGCACTGCTACCATCTCTATACCTTTCACTCACAAAACTCAACAGGACCCTGGAACCTGGTGTCAGGCTGCATGGGAGCATCTCGTGTATCCCTCTCCTTCCTTCTGCAAGCAAATAACACAAAGAGCCTGACACTAACCCTGAACTCAGGCTATGAAGGAATCTGGGAAGCATGGTGTTGAGCTCCCTCACCTCTCCAAGGAGAAGGGAGAAGATTCTGAGACAGATCAGGCCTATAGATATAGTGCCATGAACATCTGGCTCATAGAAATGCTAGCAGCCCTGGTGGCAGAACTCAGTCATGGATTGGTCCTGCTACCATCTCCAGGTCTGTGGCCCTCTCCCTGGTTTAACTAAGTTGCTGAGGCTCTCGCTAACTCACCCAGGCTGGCCTCAAACTTGGAATTCTCCTGCTTCAGTCTCCTGAATGTGCACCCCTATACCCTGCGCTGAACAGGTCACCTTCTAAGATACTCGCTTTCCAAAAGCTACCCTTAAAAAGGGCAGTCATTTTAAAGAAAATGTTTTAATAGCATTTCAGTTCCCAAGAACAATTGGTAAATTTAAAATAAAGCAAAAACCTTTTTGTTCTCACCTTGTTTTGCTTTAGCTATTATTGCCCCCCTCCCTTTTTTAAATTCTGCTTCTTCTGACTATCTGGGTATTTTCAACCTCTGGAAGGTTTTTTCCACATTCTGAGTGAAGATTTATGTCATTTCCCAGCACTTTAGCCCAGCTGACTTCTTTGTGATCACATGCCGTTATGAAATAAACAAGAAAAGGTTGTGTTCTGAAGACATCTCAAAGGGGCACCACAGACCATGACCGGTAACTGACCTAGTCTTAAGAAAGGGAAAAACAAAAACCTACCTTTACAAGGTCATTGGAGTCCACTGATATCAAAACACAAATGAGTTGAATTTATTAGGAAAAAAATTCTAGTTCATTAGAGCTAATTTTTCTTAGATACAGTCCCTTCAGGAAAATATACCTTAGTTGTGATTCTAAATCTGTCTCCTGAGAAATCTTGGAAGCCTGCTGATCATTTTGAATTCCTTGACGCCCTTAACTTCCTGGCTGCATGTTAGAAATCATTTTAAATGAATTGAATAAAATTCACAAGTGTTATATGCCAGCAAATGATGAACTCACAGGAAATATGACTCAAATCCACTTTTTTCATTTTGTTTTTTTTTTCTCATAATAAATAGAAATGAACAAATGTGGCTTTAATGACATCTTGGAGTGAGAGCTTTTATTGATATATTATCAGTTGGAAGCGTGTAATGCTTTGGTGAAATAAACTCCATTCTGCATATTTATAACCAGATTGAAAAAGGTGTGTTTGTTATTTTGTGTGACATTTCCTAATGATAGTGAAGTTTTATATATGAAGATATACATGCACCATCATAAAAACGAACAATATTTCAGCTTACAAAATGTTTCTTTGATGGAGGATGTTTTTGTACTTACTTAGTTTCCAATTACTTTTTTAACCTGTGCTCACAAACTTGCAAATATCTTTTCTCCCTTCCTGGAAAGCTATAAACATACTCCCAACTGAGTCAGCCAAGACAGAATTTGCAGCATCTGTTTTAGGGTGACAAGCCCTTCCTTGGGCAGCTAAGGTTCTGGTTATTAGCTAATTATGGTTTGTATCAGATCAAAATCTTTGTGTTGAAAAAAGATGGAAACTTGCTTAAGAAGAGAGAAATTGTTGGATTCCTTAGTGTGGCAGGCTAGTTTCAGACACAGTGAGACGTGGGCACCCAAACAGTGTCCGCAGAGCTGGTGTCTCTTGACTCTCCACATTGCTTTCTGACTTGTGTTAGCTTTCTTTTCAGATAGGCTTTCTTCCCCAAGTCACAAAATGACAACGGCTGCAGACTACCTCTGTGTTTCACATCTGCAGGAAATAAGAGTCTCTTTCTTTCCCCGTCACCCCACTTCCTCTTTCCCCCAGGCTGGTTTGCTATTGGCTCAGCTGCTCACATGCACAAACCTAAACCAACTGCTGTAACCAACTGCTGTAACCAAGGGCATATCTGTTGTCTCTAGCTGTGTAACAAATCAGCTTCCTAAAACTTAGCAGTTTTTAAAAAAATGCATTTATTACCCCATAGTTTCTATGAGTCAGAAATCCAATATGGCTTCACTAGATTCTGGAACATCTTTCTAAAGTCATAATCATAGAGTTGGCCGGGGTTCCCATCATCTTTGGTTCAACTGGGGCAGATCCTCTTCCAAATGTGCACAGCAGTTGCTGGCAGGTTTGAGATCCTTGTGGGAATTTGGACAGAGAGCCTCAATTTCTCATTGACTTGTTGGACAGAGGCCACCTCAGCTCTGCCGTATGGATAACCATAGGGCATTGACAAAAAGATAGGTGGCTTTGTCAGAGCAAGCAAATGAGAGGAGAGAAAAAGAAGTCACAGATAACCTAATATCAGCAGTGACATCATATCACTTTAGCCATAGCTGACTCAGTACCAGCTAGTCATGACTCCACCTTACATGCAAAAGGAGTGGATTAGGCAGGGGTGTGAGTGCGAGGAGATGGGGACCATGGGAGTCAGCCACATCAGAAACTGCCCACCGCCAAGGGCAATTAAAATATGGAGATCAGTTTAAATCACTATGGCTGATCCAACCTTGGAATTTCCAAACCATGAGTGGAGGTTTCCATCACAGAAGGAGATTTGCACATGGCTGGAAAATTTGCAATTGGTTTGCATGGAGTTGAGTGGACATTCCTGGTCACTATTCAGGGTACTCACTCTAGAGTTAGTTTTTACCACCATGAGTCTTAAGGATAATATGTCCGGACCCTTTTTTCTGACTCTGATGCCCATGTTATTGTTTCAAGAATCAAAGGACAACATCTTCAGAGGACTTAAGTTAAAATACAGGATAAATGGCTGCCTGACCAAGCTGACCTTGACCTACTTGAAAGTAGACTCTTACCAAGTGGCTTCATCGTTCCTGTACAGAGTGTCTGATATTGAGATTCCTGAACGTTGGAGGCCTAAACCATGTTGCACTGCTTTTCAGAAGAAGGTTTAAAGCATATGGTATGAAATTCAAGGAAATAAAAGGCCCAGGATTCTGGAGTTGGGAACCCCTGACCCTGGGTTGTAAGATGTCACCCGTTTAATAATTATCTCTTTGTGTTTCATGCATAATGAACAAGGACTTGTCTTTCATAATACAGGAATATTCAGGGAAATATCCCCTTTCATGGACCCCCTTTAAGCTGAGCATAGTCATGTGTGTGACACGTGGCCATGAGACAGAGTCTGTCTATGACCTTCTTGAGCACATTTGCTCTCCTGATTCAAGAAGGTAATTACAGTTTATAGAAGTTGCCTCTCTTTTTTTTATTTCTGAATAATGAATGTACATAAGGAAATTGGTACTGAAGCAGCTACCTTGGGACCATGAGGCAACTAGTCATGGCACAAGTATTTAAACACACCTCTGGACTGGTTATGTAAGAAAAAGAAACACCTTAGTAAAATCCTAACTTATATAATAAGTATCAAATTTATACAATTATGGAACAAATTATTTAATTATTTTTTATTGTTTTATTCTTTTTTTTTCCCCATTGGATCAAATGGTGGTTCCATTCTCAGCTTTCCAAGGAATCTCCATACTGCTTTACATATTACCTGCACCAATTTGTACTTAGCATTATATTGTTTTATTTATTT